TACAAAGGGAAGATTATAACTTACAATAAAATTTCATATTTACAAAGTTAATATGGGACAATTTCTGGTACTTATTGTCTTTGGAAAATGTATTAATCTAATTCATTTTTAACATTCAAACATTAAGTGAAGTCAAGTATCCCAGAGTTCTTCTTCTATTAAAAAAGGACAGTTTTTTTCCATAGTGTATAAAAATCGAAACAAATCACTTCCGGCACACGTTTCTTTAGGTTCACCAACTTGAATGTAACCACTTTTTGAAAAAAAACCCACGGCTTTGCGTGCCGACTCGACTCTAATAGGCCGAGGTAAAAAGTTAAACGCTTCAACCTCCAGGTAACTCAGCAAAAACTTACCGATCCCTTGTCTTTTATAATCCCGGTGCACAAAGATAAAAGTGACAACGTGCTGAAAATTACCAACGGTAGTATCGAGGCAATCTTTACTTGCTAACTTTAAGCTGGCGCACGCAACCACCATTTCTAAAAACCGTATAAGGCAAATGCAAAATAAAAACAAACAAAAAAGTTAGCTTTTTCTATATTTTTGTTTTTTTACAGAAGATAATAGTAGATGAATAGCATTTTTTAAAACATGAAAGCCATCTGTAATTCACATGTTCAACTCTTTTAAAAATATATATTAATTATATGATAAAAATAAAAAAAATAATAAAAAAAACTTAACCAAGTTATTAAGGGATACTGGGGTAAAGTGGCCAGTCTAAAAAAAAAAAATTTTTTTTACTCATTTAAAAAGAAGTTAGACTTAAAAAATTTAGTTTGTGTCATAATTAGCGCATAATTAATTATATGCATAATTAATAACATTAACAATAACATTAAATCAAAAATATATCGAAAAATATTTCATGTGAATTTTTTTTAGCTAAAACAAGTAGCAAGTAGCAAAGATTATACTTAATGAGAATTTTTGTTGCCGCCGTTAAAGATGGCAGCCTAAGTTTTGTATAAAATATAACTTTTACTTTTTGCCCAAATTGAAAATATTTATTCAATTAACGTTAATAAAAATGGTAAGAAAAGAAGACTTTGAAGCTCTAGTAAGTAGAGTATTAAAATTGGAAGCAGAACCTTTAACAAAGGATAAAGAAATTACTCAACTCAAAATATTAGTGAACGATCTGAAGAACCAACCAAGCAATATACTAAATTCGAGTGCTTGTGCATGGTCCGATGTAGTAAAAGGTAAAAAGAGTTGTTAAAGAATCTCAAGATAGAGACCTAAGGCAAAAAAACTTAATAGTCTTTGGATTCAATACCTCTAAAAACAAAAATGATGATGTAGCCAGAGAAGAAGATATATTAAGGATACAAAATATATTTAATCAGATTAATGCTAAAGCAACTATCCAACGTGTTTTCAAACTAAGTATAAAATCAGACAAGCCACCACCAGTAATTGTTGTTTTAACCAACAAAGAAGAAAGAAATGCTGTACTAAAAACAGCCAAAACCCTACGAAATTTACCAGAAACTAATAACATATTTATTAATGCGGACTTGACAGTGGCTGAAAGACTTTAAATGAAAGCTTTAAGAGAAGAACGTGCTAAATTGAATGAAACTAATAAAGATTTACAATACTATTACGAAATTAGAAATGAAAGAGTTGTAAAACTCATAAAAAGATAGCAATTCATATCAAGTCAACAAGATCAGCTGCTATTTTCAAAAAATCTACTCTTTAAAAACTCGAACAAGTTTATTGAAAAGAACAACAGGCAACTAATAAATTTAATAAACCAAGAGCTATTTAACCATCCGAAAAACAATTATTGTGGGAAATGGGCACTTACTAACATTCGCAGTCTAGGTAATAAAATTGCTGATTTCCAACACTTTGTCCATTTACACAGTCTTGATATTTGTTGTGTTATCGAAACTTGGTTAAATAAAAATCTACCTGACAGTCCTATGTTATGTCCTAGGTTTTACACTGTTCTTCGCTGTGACAGAAGTAGTAAAGGTGGTGGAATAGCAATATTTTTTCGCAGTTTTATACAATTTACAAAAGTTGACATACCACCAAAGTTTCACGAGTTAGAGATTGTATGTGCTGATTGAAACTTTAATGGTCAGTCGTTCAGAGTTATTGGCTATTATCGCAGTGGGGGTTTCGGTAAAGAAGCTATTGACTATATGCAGAGTAGTGTAAAATGTTTCTCTATTTTGTGTTCGACCAAAAAAAATGTGGTCATACTAGGAGATTTTAACTTACCTGATATAGATTGGCACTACTATCATGGTCCAGATAGTGTTATACATAACTCTTTTTTACATTTTATAAACAGATATAGTCTCACTCAGCATGTTGATCAACCAACTCGAGAAAATCTTAGATCTTATTTTGAGTTCTTCCTCTTCATTTATCAGTAATCTCTGTATTGAACCACCTATTGGTACTAGTGATCATGATGTAATCATATTCACTCCTAATTTGAGCTGCTTATATAATAAAATTGAAGTTCCAGTGCAACAGTTCTTCTGTTGAAAAAATGCAGATCACCAACTTATCAATAAATAACTGAAATCGGTCGATTGGAGTATTATCTTTCAAACATGTTTTAATATTGAAGCTTGTTGGCATACTTTTTCTACTATACTAAATAACATTATTACACAACATGTACCTAAAGTGCGAGTCTGTGAAGAGCATAAACTATCACATAAAATACACTACCCTTATTATGTTAAAAGGTTGATAAACAACAAAGCAATGGCATGGAAAAAATCAAAAGTAACAGGTAAACCTAATGACAAAGCAGCTTATAAATCAATTGCTGCACAATGTTCTGATTCCATTAAAAAGTATCATGCAGCAAAAGAACTTAAGATGATACGCAAAGACAACCTTGGCAGTTTCTTTAATTTTGTCAATGGAAAACTCAAAACCTGTAGTAAACTCAATGACATTTGTCGATCCGATAATACCCTTTGTCATGATAAAGAAGAAATATCCTGTATTTTTAATAACTTTTTTGCAAATGTTTTAACAGTCGATAATGGTTTATCACCAAAGTTTACGGATCGTGTTAACGTACATTCAACTTGTCTGTCATCTATTAACTTCTCTCCTTCTACAGTCGAAAAAGCACTTAGAGCACTTAAGCCCACCACATCTACTGGTCTAGATTGCATTCCCAATGTTTTCCTAAAGTATTGTGCCAATAGTTTATCGATTCCCTTAAGCCATTTATTTGATACCTCATTTAAAGATGGTGCTATACTGCTAGACTGGAAAGTAGCAAGCGTTATTCCAATTCACAAAAAAGGACCAACCTTGACCTAGGTAATTATAGACCTATCTCCTTGACATCTACTTGTTGTTGTGTAATGGAAAGAATCATTAATAACAAACTGATTAATTATCTCTTACTCAATAACCTAATCACAAAAGAGCAGCATGGTTTTATTTATAAACGTAGTACCTGTACTAATATTCTAGAAAGTCTTCATGACTGGACTTTAAATCTTCAGGGCCGTATTCCAACAGATATTTATTTTGATTCAGTTTCACATCCTAAGTTACTAATGAAATTAACTGCTTACGGAATAGTTGGCAATCTTCTGAATTGGCTAACTAATTTTCTGCACATGAGATCACAGGTGGTAAATTTAAACAATGTTACTTCCCATGCTATATCTGTAACAAGCGGTGTTCCACAGGGGAGTGTTCTTGAACCTACTCTGTTCTTATTGTTTATAAATGATGTGAGCCACATTAATAAACAGCTTGATGTCAAACTTAAACTTTTTGCTGATGACATTAAATTATATTCAGTCTATGATGTACGTGGCCTTCAGTCAGACTTTCACACAGCTGTTAATCATTTGTACGAATGGAGTTGTACTTGGCAACTCCAAATAGCAACTGAAAAATCCTTTGTCTGTACTATTGCTAACCAGAGTCAAAACATAGCCCAGTGTGTTTACACCATAAATAACCATGAACTTGCCCATGTTAACTGTAAAAGAGATCTTGGAGTTACTATTGATAGAAATCTCAAATTCAATCAACATATCAATCTTATCGTACATAAAACCATGTCAAGAGCTTTTCTTATTTTAAAATCTTTTTATTCACGAGATAGATTGCTGATGGTTAAAGCCTAATGTTCTTAAGTACAACTATGCTTGAATATTGCTCTTCAGTATGGTCACCTTACACTATATGCCTGATTAATTAAGTTGAGAAAGTGTAGCGTTTCTTCACTAAAAGAATTTTTTTTTTTTAATTATTCACCTCACCAAGGCCTGAGGGGGCCACCACAGTCGAGGAGGCTACTCATTTTTTTTTTTATTTGTTGTAAATCGTGGTACAACCCTCTCTCAACTCTTTAACTCCGAAACACAAACCTTGACAAGCAAGGCCACTGCGCAGAAAAATTAAGTTGAGCGCCGTACTTCCAGGGACGTGGTGGAGAGGTTCAGAGTCGAACTCTGAACCTCTCGCTTACAAAGCGAGCGCTCTTACCACTACACCACTACCGCATTAGTTGCTGGTCTGTGGTCACTTTCCTATGATAAGCGTCTAGCTATACTAAAGCTTAACACGTTAGAATATCGACGAGTGTTTAAAGATTTAGTTTTAAGCTACAAAATTCTTAACGGCAAACTGGACACTGACCTATCAAACATTCTTATTCTCAATTCTTACTTGAATAATCGCGGTCATAACTTTAAACTGTACAAACACCATTGTAGTTTAAACAGCACAAAGTGTTTCTTTTCTAATCAAATTGTTAATGTATGGAATAGTTTATCTGGGCCCTTCTGTTGTTTTCAAATAAATAAATAAAATTAATAATCTTAGACTTAATATTTAAGAGCACTGGTATGAGAATTTAAGAGCCTTAATGATGATAATGATTATTATAGAATAAAAGATTTCAAACAGTAACTAATTGTTTTAATTTAATTTTAATTGGTTGTTGTGTTTAAGTGGTGAGCCACACACTAAAAATAAACTCAAGAGTTTTTCAAAATTTAGACTAATCATGTTAAAACGATTATAACTAAACACTAATTTAAAATAAAACTTCCTTTTTTCATTCAATTTTTCGAACTGATCACATTTAGCGCAGTTAATATTGTGTCAAAGTGTGGCATTCTTGTTGTGTTAAGTTAAGTATTCTTAAAAAGATTCATTAAAAAAAAGATACAAAATTTAAAATTAATTAACAAATATTACATTAAATCGTTTCAACAACTGATCAAGATAAGGCGATAAATAGGTGGTTTGACCATGACTGAACATTTGTATTGATATCTGCGAAAAGTCAAACATATTTCAATATGTAAAGAACTGTTATCAAATGTTTAGGCATGACGTCAACGTAAAAATAAAATACGCCAAACCCTGGATTCTTAAAATATTTGAAAAATTTAATGTTAAGCAAAAAAGTAGGATTGAAACAAAAATAATGTAAAAAACTTATAATTAAAGTTATATAGAATATTTCATTTTTCTTACTACTAGTAAACTTTACCAATACCCTAAAATTACTCTAAAATTAAATTAAATTGCCTATATTGCCGATTTGCCATAAACTCTATTTTTTTTGCCATTAAAAAAATTGAGTAAAAACTACAAAGTTTGAACTCTACATAACTGATACAAAATCAAGAAAATAAGTGAGTATATAGGGATCAATATATAGAAAATTGGTATGAGTAGAAGCTTGCAGTTATAACCATTTAAAAGTATATGTTTAAAATAAAAACTAATTAGATATAAAGTTAAAAAAAAAACGATTTAATATAACTATTGTGAATTATTAACCTTTTAAATCGTGGTTATCTTGCTTAAAGCCAAAGAATATCTGTTCAGTGTCTTCAGGTTCCATTGATTCACCGCAATTATCTCGAGAAAGCGTTCGAAAAATTCGTCGATTTGTCATTGAATGTGAAACTTTTTTGACAGAGATCATTTTCTTGGTTTTGTAAAATCTATCAAACTTTTTTTTCCTGATGGCACTTTAAAAATGAACATCATTAAAAAAGATTTTTTTCTACGTAGAATTACTAAAATAATAAGAAAAAAATGTTAAACAAAATAAAACATTCATTGTTAAATTGTTATAGAATATTAATGGAAAATATTATTAAAGCTCATTTAAAATTGAGGCAAGAAATGAGTTGTGACACAAAAAACGGATTTTGAAAAGTATTTAATATTGATGACATTTAAAAAACATTTAAAATCTAATTTCAAGCAAATAACTGCTTCATTACTTCTGTTCTGTGTAATAAAAACCTTAATAGCAATTTGTTAATAAGGAATTTAAAACACCTTTTGAACTGCTTTAAAAACAATTATGGCTGCAACTGATAGGTGAGAAATTTGTAAGAACAAATAATGATGAAAAAAAACCACTAATTAGTATTATATAGATAAAATAATGAAAGATATTCTCACTAAATTAATTTTTGCAATGTCGCTTTAAAACCGCGACTATAAATACCGCAAAAATCAAATTTTATGGGTGCATTTAATAATAATAATAATAAAAAAATAACATATAAAACACAATTTTTGCACAATTTATTAAAAAATCGTAAAATTAAGCGCACTAAAAAGTTTTTCAGTAAAGATATCTTCCATTTTTACATAATTTAATAACATGTTAAACAAACTTAAAAAAATCTTCTATTAAAATAATTATCCAAATCCATTTAGCACACCTTCCTATCTTGTTACTTATTGTTTTATTTATTTTTTTGACTCTATCTACTGTTTACCCAGATCAGTAAGCTCTTTCCCACAGCTCTTATTATATGAAAAGTCAAAGAACTACATCAACTATTATATATATATATATATATATATATATATATATATATATATATATATATATATATATATATATATATATATATATATATATATATATATATATATATATATATATATATATATTAATATATATTGCGTATATATATTAGGGTGTTCCAAAAAACAACATTTTTGAAAAAAATCTGCTTCACAACCCTAAATGTGTTCTATATAACACAAAAACACTAGGTCTACAATTTTTTTGAATAAAAAATATTTTTAGGGGTAGCCTCTGACCCTTAAACATTTGACTGGTCCCCAATATTTTGAAAAAAAAAGTTCTTCTAAAATATGCAGGGCTGTAGAGTCGGAGTCAGAGTTGCGACATTTTCAGCGAAGTCGGAGTCGCTTAACAAAATCGCGACTCCGACTCCAACAGTAAAACTTTTCGGCATTGCACGTGCATGTACAAAACATTCAATTAACCTTATCTCCATAATAAACATCAAAGAACATTTCATAAATTTGTCAAAAAAGAAATTTTTAACTTATCGCATTATATTTTTTAAAGAATTCAAAGAATTTTTCAAAAATTTTGCTTTGGAGTTGGAGTCGGAGTTGTGCTCAAAAAATTTCAACAACTGGAGTCGGAGTCATTACTTTTTTTTTACGACTCCACACCCCTGAAAATATGTCAACCTGGTACTCAAAAGAAGCGAAATTATATTAAAAATTCAAAAATATTAATTAATTTAAATAAAATAAAAATTTTAAAAAACCATTTACAAAAAACTTGGAAATTGTGACTTTTTTTATTTTTAGCTTAAAAAGCAACAGTTTTTATGCAATGGTGTATTAAAAAAATTATTTTTATATAAAAATTATTAATATTTTAGAATTTTTAATATAATTTCGCTTCTTTTGAGTACCGGGTTAACATATTTTAGAACTTTTTTTTTTCAAAATATTAGGGACCCATCAAATGTTTAAGGGTCAGGGGCTACCCCTAAAAATATTTTTTATTCAAAAAAATTGTAAACCTAGTGTTTTTCTATTATATAGAACACATTTATGTTGTGGAGCAGATTTATTTCAAAAATGTTGTTTTTTGGACCTTAATATATATATATATATATTTATACAGTATAATTATTTAGACCCTAATATATATATATATATATATATATATATATATATATATATATATATATATATATATATTTGTACAGTATAATTACTAGTAATTTTACTGATTACTAGTAATTATACAGAAATTATTAAAAATTAAAAGAAACTATTGCATTGATTTTTTTTGGTTTTGTTTTTAATGGTTTTTTATGTTTATATTATACTTGATAAGTGACGGATCTAGGATTTTTTGGTGTTCAAGCTAACTTTCAGACATGGAGCAAACTCCAAATGTTTGTATCTTTACACTTATGTCAAATAATGATGCTTTGCAAAAAATTGTGATGATTAAAGGCTGTAACCTCCTCAAATAGAGGGGAGTTTAAACTTTATATGGTCATAATTTTTGAATTCTGAGAGATAATACTATGAAACTTATCAATTTATCATTGAATATAAGTCTAGTTGAGAATAGTACAAAAAGTATTTAATAAACTCGTTGCCCCTCATGTTTAGGGTGAGGTGGTGGGATGAGTTAAAGGGCTTTTTCATTCCCAGCATCTAATGATTGCAATTTTTTGCTAAGTATTATTATTTAATATAAGTATAAACATACAAATGTTTGGAGTTTGCTCTATGTCTGGATGTTATCTATCTCAACCACCAAAAAACCATGGTTCCATCAATGCTTGATAACGAGGGTACCTAGACTCCCCTGAAATATTGTATTAAAAATCAATTTAAAAATAAAGAGTTACATTGCAGTAATTTTACAATTTTTTTCATAAAAAAAAATTTAATTCCTTTTCTTTTTTATTATTATTATTCTTAACTCTAAACTATTTACAAAGAAGTTTGACAAGTAAATAACAAAAACTATTAAAACAAAAAGATTGAAAGCTTTATTAACAAAAAGTAAAATTTTTTCAGCCGAGTGAAATATCTACTTGCAATTGATATGTTTTCAAATATTCAGCAACATCTCTCTCTCTTTGTTGCAGTTTTTGTGAGATTTGCTCAATAGTTTTTCTATGGACAATATTGGAGAGTTCAGGTACAATTAAAAGCTCCTCAACAACTGAATTAAAAGTGTCCTTAACTTCTAATGGGGTGATAATATTATCATCAGATTTTATTTCATTTATCAGTGACTCAAATATACAATGTTCTATTGGAACCCAACTTTCCATTTCACAATCTGCATCGCCTTCATTAATGTTTGTTTGGGTTGCTATGGTAGTAGACAATGCAGAACTTTTGCAAGTAGCAACTTTGGCAGCTTCGTGGGCATACCTTTGCCTATATGGCACCCTGATTTTTCTTGTGCGCATTTTTTCAGGTTTCTTCCCAAAGGGATTTTCACAATTTCGACAATCACACAACACTCCACAAGCTCGATCAAGTCTAAAACAGATGCATCTGGTCATGTACTTTCCTTTGTCTTTTGAAACACATTTAGCTTGGTCATCTTTACCCGGAGTTCCGCGGCCACATCGACATTGAGGCTCTTTTCCTTAAGTATTAAGTTAATAATACTAAAAATTAAACTCATAGCTTTATGAGTTAAATTATCAATAAGTTTTGGGTCATTTAATGTCAATTTAAAAACATTTATTTACACTATGCCATTTCGTATATTAATGATTTTTTAATATTTATGCTTACATTAATAAAAAAATCTTCGATTTCAATTTTCTTATGACTACAGAGATTCTGTCAGAATCTCTTTCTTAACCTTTTCCTTTGCACATTTTTTATGCACATTGCTTCACATTATTTGCTTTATCCCAAGCAATATTTTTCAATAATGATGAAAACATGTACTTGGCCATTTTTACAGTAAATGATTATATTACAATGGTCTTAATTTAAAAAGAACTTAATTTTACTAAATATATGTATATATTATGTGCACATTTTATAGTTAAACTATAAACAGATAGTTACAAACTTAGTAATTTTTTGTAGAGCAATACTGCATAAAACATTGTTTTTCCTTTTGTTGTCTCTAAGCATTGTCTTAACAATGCAATGTTAAGACAATGCTTAGAGAAATCAAGAAGGAAACTCAATCTGAACTAGTAAGTCTAACTAACACCACAAGTACCTTCACTTACATTCTTATATGGCACAATGTTGTTAAAATTAACATAGTTAAAAATCAAACATGATAAACTGATGTAAAATGGATCATAGATACACAACTGCAAAAGCTTAAACACTTGCAGTTATTTCACTTTCATTCCTTAAAAAAAAAATTATTCCATTGAATATTCAAGTTTTTAATTTCTAAACTGATGAAATTTTTAAATAAACCCTGTTTATTTGACCCTTGGAGTGTTTGCATGTTTGATATAAGTTAATAATAGATCAGACAAGTTGAGTTAACATAAAGATTAACATAAGACTTTCAGGGAAGATTCATACATTCAAGTTATCCCTCAAAGCCATATTGACCTTCAAGAAATAATGAGTTGAGTTATATCAACAAACACATATAATAATTATGACTTCAACAGTCACAGGAAAACAAAATATTAGCAAGATTACAGCAAAAGTACAAAAAACACAATGTTGGGAGTTACCAAAAAGCTAGGGGAAAAGTTATAAAGCAAGGAAACAGTTGGCAGAAGACTGGAAAGAGTGTCTGGAAAACATGAAAACATGAAGAAAAATCCAAAGTATCCTAATTTAAATTTGTTTGAAATTATATGAATTCAACATTAAAAAAGTTTGTTTTCTACAAAGACTTCGTTAAAATATTTTTTTTTGCATAAGTTTTTGCATAAGTTTAGCGCAACTTGTACTCAACCTTAATTTTTAACTTGTACTTAACTCTAATTAGTTTCTAAAATATAATGATATCTAATGTCAGACTTTCCTTTGCTAATACTGAGGATTTTCTGTAAGTTTTTAAGATAAAAAATGAGATTTATTTGAGAATAACATACCTTAACGCCAGACAATTCCTTTTTTCATAAATTTCTTGCAAAGATAAAAAAAAGCTTGTTTTCAAGAGAGTTGTTTTTGTGAAAAAGATATAAGAAATTATAATTAGAAATAGGAACTACACAAGAAAAAAATGATTTAAAAAACATTAACAAAACGATAGAGATTTGAACCTTGTTCACTCATTATATTTTATTTGTACAAGACATCACAAAAATTTTACATCACTTTTGAAAGTAGGAATTGTTGTATCATTTTTGAAACTAAGTTTTCATCAGTAGCATAGCATACAAAAAATTGGCCTGCCCCCAAAATTTTAATCAAGGCCCCTAAATTACTTCTCTACCCCCTCCCCCTTAAAACAAAAATTACATGAAAACAAAAGACTTATTTTTAAATACAATTTTGATTTAATTTAGTGGAAACAAGTATATTACATATTGCATAGCTAAGAATTTGTAATTCTTAGCTATACAATAATAGCAAAAATGAGATAATGTATATTTAAAAAATTTGGCTTGGGCCCCTAATAAGTCTGGGCCCTCCTGCAGCTGCGGGCCCATTGCTACGCTTCTGGTTTTCATATAGCTTTTTATTTACAATATTTCATCATTCTTGAATTCTTTAAATTATATGTAAAAATTTAAAATTATTAAAGTTTTATGTACAAATTTTCATAACTATTAAAGTGTGTGACAAAATAATTGTGTAATGCAATGTGTTTAAAAAATGCATCTGAAAAGAGTATACCTGGAAGAGACACTAAAACTTAAACTGAACTTTTTTTTGATGAATGCAAGCTTATGATATCAAAATCATTAAAATCAAAGATGATAGTGTCAAATATAAGTTAAATTGACCAAGAATGACAAAAAAAAAAACTTTCATAAATTAAATTTCATAAATTAAACTGATGTTTGCGAAACTATAGATTACCAATATACCAATAAATACAAAATATAGATTACCAATAAACTTTAACTGAGCGTTATTAAAGATTATAAAAATGTTTGCCTACTACACTATTATAAAAAGCAAAACTACCTTGTCTTTTTAAGTTTATATTTCGTATAGATGAAACTGAAGCTTTATTGGTGAGCCATGCAGGAAAAAAACGACCAAAACGATACACAACAAAAAAGTGAGGAGAAAAAAGATTAAATATGTCAGGAAATATTGGTATCAACCAGCAATGCTCCAAGTTTGTTATTATAGTGATAACTGCACCTAGCTTATCTGCTAACCTTTTTAAAAGCTCAAATTCAAAGCTGATTAAAGCAGAATTTACTTCATCTGTATGAATTTCATTAGTTTGTCCAGGTGAATTATTTATTTTACAAGATTCATCTTCCTCTTGGTCATGAGCCTCATGACATTCTATATCCATAAGATTAGACTAAAATGAGATGAGAAAAACTAAAATGAGATGAAAAATGAAATGATTAAAGTAAAAAATCAAAACTCTTTTTACATTATTGTGCATATTAAACTTTACCTGTGTTAATGATTGTGATGGAGCTGTGGATGGAGCTGCGGAGCTTCTCTGTCTGTTGACTGCTTTAGAATTTGAACTTAAAAAATCAATTTCATCATTGTCATTTAAAGTGCCTACAGAGTCAGATGTTAAATCTTCATTATTGTCTTTTAACGCAACCAAATCTTGTTGCATTGTAAAATTCTCAAAACTAGTGTTGGATAAAAGTGAGCTTTTATATTTTTTTGTGTAGCCCACAAGATTTTCAAGAGCTTGTATTAAATCTTTTTCCTTACGATCAATAACTTGAACACCAAGGTTTATTAAAAATTTTAAATATTCTAAAACATCCACTGAAAGATTATCACCAATTTTGTCCTTTATCAGTTGACGTGCAACAATATAAAAAATATCATTAATCGAACCATTCAAACAACTGCAGCTTAACGTATCTATATGTAGTCTACGAATCTTTAGCTCAACGTTTGACAATCCTGAAAAAAAATATTTATATACAATTAACAAAACCATTTCAAATATCAGACCATGAATAAAATAAAAAAATAAAAATAAAATTTTAAGTATAATGTTATAAATCTTAAGTAGCTAGTTAACTATTGTAGCAATTTAATTCATTTGAATACCTTAAAGTCTGTTAAATGTGTTTGAAATATTAAAACATGTAACGGAAATAAAAAAAATGTAACGGAGATAAAAAAAAATAGAAACGGAGATAAAAAAAATAGATAAAACAATGTCAATTGGAAAAATTTTCCTTGACATCATAAACATCTTTTAATTGTATTCACCTAGCCAAAGACTAGGAGGCTATTACAGTCAAAAGGGTAACTCATTCTGAAAATTGTTGTAACAGCCCTATAGCTCCGAAACACAAAACTTGACAAACAAGGCCAAACAACAAGTTTAGCCAATAATAATTACCTGCTATTACCAAACATAAAAAAATATACATACCTGCAACAATCTTATTTAGATCTGATTCAAAAGGCTCCCTTGGAAAAGCAGAATGCGATATTAAATTTAATGCTGATGAATAATATGGTAACAATCGAAGATTTTTTATTGCCTGCGGTGCAAATGCATCAAAATCTTCTTCATACTTGTAATACATCAAAGCTTGTATCAAATATTGAGACATTTTAAAATTATTTTTGGTATAGAATACATTCACTGCGCTCACTATATCAGAAATAGGCATAATTGTCTGCTTTTTCTCTTTCATGTCTTGTAAGACATTTATTTTATTTTCAGTCTGAATTGATACAGTTGTCATGCCTGTAACAAGCAAACAAAAGGTTACTTAAAGTAGTAAACTTTTTAAGTAATAGAAAAACTTTTTTTTTTTTTTGTAAATAAAACACAAGTTAAATAAGGAAAATCTTACCTTCAATAGATATATCAAGTGTTTCCTCAATGTCATTTATTTGTTTGAAATGGATATTTTCAGAAGATTTATATTGAAAATCCATTGAGGCCCCTTTGTTCTTGTTTATTTCATGAAGACACATAGAAAATAAAGCTGATACTAGTGGAACAGTAATTCTACAATGAGAGATTGATTTTCGCAAAGCATTGTGGACCTCATTAAAATTATCATTTCCAACTTCTGGAGGGATACCACTCAAACAACCATTTTGAACATGTTTTTCTAACTCTTGAAGAAGCATAACAGCTTTTTCTGGAAAAACAGCTTGAAGTTGATCATCTATCACATCTTTCCACCGTGTCATAAATTCCTTAAATTATATTAATATATTAAAATGATAAGCAATCATAGACTAGTACAGGAGTTGGCAACCTGTTTTAGAGTAGTAGTAGAGAGCCATTTTTCTTTAAACAATTTAAAACTTATGCATGGCTGAATTTAGAAAAAACTGAAGATTATTATCAAAAAATTATTATATTATGATATTCAATAATATTATACAATTGTTTTTACTTAACCTTAATATACTTTATTGTAAAACTTTATTTATTTATTTATTTTTTCTCCATTTATTTTACCATAAATAATAAAAATTTACAATGATAAATTATAAATTTACATAAATAAGGTTAGGTGTCACTCATATAGTTGAAAACTAGTCAATGGAGTGACACCTAAAAAAAAAAGAAAAAAGAAAAAAGGAAAGAAAGATAAGCAACAATAACAGTAAAGAAGATTTAAAAAAAAAAAAAAAAAAAAAAAAAAAAGGAAAAGAAAGTTAAAAGTAATAATATTTATAAAAACAATAATAGTAACAATAATATGAATAAAAATAATATGAAAAATAATAACTGCAATATAAAAAAGTAAAAAGAGTTATAAATGATAAAGCATTATTAAGATAATTATAGTATAGTTAATAATTATAAAATAAACAATTTAAAGAATAGTTATACAATAATGATAAAGCTGCAACTACTGAACTACTTTGACTATCATTATAGGTAATAATATCAAGGCAATAAAAACAAAGATATAAATAATAATAGTAATAATTACAAAAATAGTAGTAGTAACAATGTAAAGAATAATAATAACAATAAAAATAAGTGTAATTAATTAAATAATATATTGAAGGAATAATAAGAAAAGATAGCATTAATATTCTTTAGATATTTGCTCACATAAAAATTTCTTAACTAGGTTTCTATTGAGAAGAAGAAAGTTAGTAACAAAAGGGTATTTAGTTAAAATCTTTTTTTTATAAAAGGTATTAATTGGTTCCAGTGAGAAATACATTGATGTTTTATGGAGAGCTTGCCATACTTGACAGTATTGAAAAAAGAAGGGTGTAAATTACCATTTATAGTAATACGAGTATAGTATTTATGTGTATCACTTGCTTTAATGAAAAAATTGTTAAACAAACCTGGCAGATTATTTTGGAGGAAATCAAACACAAAAAGACAGTTGTAAAGCTTTATAAGATCATGAAATTGTAAGATTTTTAATTCAAAAAACCTTTTTTGGATATTAGATTGAATAGGAGAAAATGTCATAATTCTTAAGAAGCATGTTGCAAACTGTTTATACGATTTAATAGAAAACTTCTTTGTTGCCCCCAAACAACACAACAATAGCTTAGATGGGATGAGAACATGGAATAGTAAATTGATACTAGAGAATATTTAGGAACAAAGTGTCATATTAAAAATAACATACTATTGGCTCGAGAGAGTTTTTTATTTAATTGAATCATTTGATAATTCCAAGATAGGTTTTTGTCAATAAATACTCCAAGATATTTTATAAATTCAGAAGGAAAGATTCTTTTACCATTAATTTTAATTTTAACATTATCATTACTAATTATTTTTTTTGGAAGGTGAAAAATAATGAATTCAGTTTTGTTGATATTTAGAGAGATACGATTACTATTTAACCAAAGACACAAATGACGGAGATCTGAATTAACTTTTTTAAAAAGCTAAGCGATTTATTTATGCATAGAAGATTGGTATCATCAGCAAAATGGTGGAATTGCTTATAGAATGAGACAAGTCGTTTATATATATTAAAAACAGCAAAGGCCCAAGAACAGAACCTTGGGGGACACCATATTTGATAAATTTTTTGGAGGATTCAAACCCATTAATGGAGACAAACTGGCTACGATTTTCAATATATGATGAAAACCAATTATTAGCGATACCCCTTAAGCCATAGTAGTATAACTTTTTAATTAAAATCTTGTGGTTGACCGTGTCAAAAGCTTTTTGGAAATCAATAAAGATGCCACAAGCAAATGAACCACTATCGATTGCACCACGAATCATTTTAGTAATGCTAATAAAAGCATGGGAAGTAGAGTGCTTTAAAAGAAAAATTAAACTGGCAGCCATATAAGCACTTAGAATAATCAAGAAAGTGGTAGATACAAGAATACATAAATTTTTCAAGAATTTTGCTGATATTAGATAATAATGATATTGGTCTGTAGTTATTACAGTCAAGTTTTGAGCCCTTTTTATGAATTGGTTTAACAGATGCTGTTTTCAAAATGTTAGGAAATATACATGTAACGAATGAGAGGTTAAATAGTTTAGAAAGTAATGGAGAAATATCCCAAGCAAGAAATTTAAGGTGCCATTATTTAGAGAAAGAATAATAGATAAAATTTCATTTTTATCAGTAGGTTTAATAAATATAAATTCAAGGTTTGATGTTTTTAAATAGTTATAGAAGTTAGTATGGGATGAGTGAATGTTTTTTTGCAATTCGTCAGGTATTGAAATGAAGAACGAATTGAATTTTTCCGATATTTTGTTTGGATCATGTATAATGGTGCTATTTGAAGATATACAAGATGGGTATGAGATATCTTCCAAACGAATATTTAAAAGCTTTTATTGTATTTATTGTACTTTATTTATTGTAAAATTTATATTATAAAATTTGAAAGTTCTTTATTAACTTATAAAATTTGAAAGTTTCTTCCATTTATGATCTAATGCAAAGTTTTCTTTATTTCTTTCCAAGTTTTCCAGTTCTGTTTGCAAAGTTTTTTTGACTTCAAATCTATCAACTTGTTCAACTTTATTGACCTTAAGGAACAGTTTAAAATTCATTCTGTTGATTTTTACAGTAAATGGATATGTAAAAAATGACAAAGCAAATTTTACCTATCTGTAAAATGATTGACAAATGATTCTTTCATTTTGTTGATGGTTAAAAGTTTACCATGATGATCTCTTTACATCAAGATCATCATGGTAAACTTGTCCTTGCACTATCTTTTTGAGATTGTTTTGACAAGATGTCATTATCGTGGCAAAATTTTGTAACCAATTGCCATCGTTTAACTCCGGGTATTCATAAGCTTTTGACAACAAAAATATTTTAATACTGATAGTGACAAAAACATTTAAACATCTCCGCTTCTCCTAGATTACCAACTGAAATTTTTACACAACAATAGATCAGAATATCTTTCATTAACTTCATCAAGTAATAAACAAATTTTGGGAAGGTTTTAAGACAATTTTATTTGACTAATTTTACTTAGTCTTTTACATCTTTAATCTTAAAACTAATGGTTGACAAAAATAAATCTTGTTTAAAAGGTTTACTACTGCAGGGTTTAGACTTAGTAAGATTAATTGCGGCAGGGTTTAAACATAAAGAAATTAATTTCCATTTCTAATCTTAAAATACGGTTTTCATACTAATTGTGTTTTTATATTGAAGCGTTACATTCAAAAATATTTTTACATACAATGTTATTAAATACAATGTTAACATTTTTGCATGCAAGTTTTATTTATGCACTTTTGCATGTTTTATGAGTGTTTGAGCAATACTATATAAATTGCATACTTTATTTTAATTCCAATTCTAAAAAAATTTCTAACTTATTATTTTAATATAATTTTCTAACTCTAATTCATTATTTTATCGCATTAAATTTTTTTTTTTAAATTAATTTTTATTATAATAAATTAAATTTTTTATTTGTTTCAATAAAATTAAAATGTAATATATAATTAGAATTAAAAAGTCGTGGATTGCCGACCCATGGACTAGTATATTATAAATAACTATATAAAAATATGAGTTAATAAGAGTATAATAAAACAAACAAAGAAAGTTTTACTTGTAAATTATGAGCAATCAAAATTGGATCAGTTGTGTAATCCTTGCGCACATCTCCAATATCATCTGGCTCCCGAAAAACCATGGCTAATTCATTGGAACATTCTTTAAAATAAGTATGGTCAGATGGCATTTCTTTTATTATTTTGTCCAGAAAAAAACGAAGATTTCCTTTAACAATAAACCATTTTCCAAATATTTGTCTCAAATCATCTCGCCATTCACAGCATTTAGTTGTGAAACAAGCTTTTAGTGACTTATTGTGTTTATTATGTCTATCACAAAGCTCTACTAACACATCGTGTACTTCACTAAAACATGTTTCTTTTAAAAATGTCCAGGTCAAAACATGCTTTGCTTCATTATACACCAAAAGTATACCACGATATTCTTCTAGAAACAATTTCATTGGATTTCCCCAGACACCTGGCAAACCAATTCTAGCTCCAACACAAAAGCTATCATCCAAAATTATACATTCATTAGATAATAACTGATGCATACAAAACTTATAATAATCGTCCTTTTCTTTAAATGAAGCTAAGAAACATCGACCTAAAAGAGCCTTACTAGGATGACAATTAACGTAAGGTGGGAACATAGCTTCATTGCTTATTTCAATTTGGCCTCCAGCAGCAGTAACATGGTCTCTAATACTGTCAATTTCATTTGCAAAAAATTGTGATGTAATGGTATGGTTTACTTCATACTTTGTCTTAACCACATCAAATAATCTGTTCACTGTCATACCACTAATAACATTATCCATTATAAATTCCATCATTCGTTTAGTTATCCCAGCCTTGTGAAATAACATAAAAGGTAAATCCAGGTTTGGGAACATTCGCAGAAGACGTGGATCATAACCTAAAATTTCATGCTGTTTTTTACCTTTGTTAGAGCAACGCAGAAAAGATGTAACAAGTAACACAGGTTTATCTAAATCATATAACATTCGTAGAGCAAATCTTTGTCCAAAAGAAACAAATGTCATGGGACATGAACAACTTGGACAGTTTAAAGGCCGCCCTGCACCATTCCTAGCATACACTTGCTCAAAATCCCAAAATTGGACTGATGGTTGTAGCATATCTTTTTCTGTAATCCTTGACAAAATTTCTGCTTTCATTGCAATATCGTCAGTTGCTTTGAGAACAGTCAATATTTCAGGCTCATAAAAGTTTGCACCATCTGAGCAACCTTTCTCTAGCAATGTTCGTGCATACACTTTCCACTCGACTGCTTCCCTCATTAATGCTTGCCGACTCTTTAATATTTGCAAATAGCTTTCATCAAGCACATCTAAAATAAAAATCAATAAGCACAGCTCCAAAGGAAACTTTTGGAATAAAAATATTTATGTTAACAATAGTTATTTAGAAATTATAAGAAATATTTTCTTTTTTTAATTACAAACTATTTTAGCTATACTTAATAAATATACAATTAATCAAATTAAAATTAGAAATTAAAAAAAAAATTAATATAAAAGAAATGTTAATTAATAAAGAAAATGATCAAACTTAATTAAATTTAAAACATAGGTATTTTCCTATATTAGTCTAGGAAATTACTCTTTTTTTCAATTTTATTTATTTTTTATCTCTAATAATTTAATCTTCTTTAACCTTATATCTCTAACACTTCAAATTTGAAACACTTGAATTATTTTTTTAAATTTTTCATAAAAATTAATTTAATCATTAGCTTCTTAGTTTAAATATATATATATATATATATATATATATATATATATATATATATATATATATATATATATATATATATATATATATATATATATATATATATATATATATATATATATATATATACACTAAATATATATATATATATACACTAACAGGGACATAAGCATTATAGGGGACATTTTAGTGTACCCCTTAATTTTTTGTTCCTGTAAGCATTTTTTTTTTGTAAAAAAAAATGTCCCTATAAACAACTTTTATAGAAAACAAAAAGTACATACATCGACTATCAAATAACCTGACTTTCAGTGGAGTGCTGCTATACCAACTGAGGGTTTAGTTTGGGGTCAGCATCAGGCTTAGGGTTAGGGTTATGGCAAGTTTTAAATATGGTTATATTACTGTAATTAATTGTTTTTGCAAATAGATGAAAATAAAATTGAAATATAATATATAATAAATAAATAAAAATAACAGAAATAAATATAAAAAACATATTTTTATAATAAAAAACAAATTTAAATATATACAAATAAAAATTTAAAAAATTTAAAAGTTAAAAAACAATTATATTTATGATAAAAATAGTAAAGAAAAAGGAAAAAACAAAAAACAAAATGGGTATAAAAAAAAACATGTCCCTGTAAGCGCCGACTAGGAGTGTGTGTATATATATATATATACATGACCTATTTTAAGTAAAAAACTTGGGCCCCCCTTATTTTGGTGGACTTTAGCGGAAAATCTGCACTTTTTTTTGCAAAAAAAAAAAAAAAAATTGCCATAAAAACATAAAAAAATGTATATATATAAAAATAATAATAGATCAAATGAGCTAGACAACCAGTAAAAAACATAATTGCTATGTCACAAGGGAACCAAAAAAAGGTTATAAAAATACCTTAACAAATAAATAAAAATTCTTTTTTCGCAACAATTCCGTTCATGGAAAAAATTACTTTTAATTATAATGCACTTTTCTATTTTTTTTTAAATTTAATTCAACATATTAGAAATAACAACAGGAAACATATTACAAAATTTTGTTTTAAGAACATGATCAGTTAATAACAAGTCATAATAACAATTGTCCTTACTATGTTTTTGTGGGTTGTTATACAAATGATTTTGGGAAGCGCATATAACAGAAAGTAAATAACTAACATGTTCACAACAAATTGCAACAACAACATTCTTTCTTTATATTCATATTTGCTATTTATTCACTTGCAACAATCCTGACCAGTATTGACCACAAGCTATACATCGGATACGACCTTTTCATCATACAAATAAAATTTTGAATGGATTTAAAGAAGTATGCTTCAAATGTCTTGTACTCGAAAAAAGTAAAAGTAATGAGCTGTGCGGTAGAAAATTTGCAACATGTATGTTCGACAAAAGCTAATATAAGCAATCTTATCCTAATATCTTGGAGATCTTTTATTCTAGGTTCAAATTTTTTTTGTTATTAATTATTATTTAATTCTAAAAATAGCTGTGTAACATTTTAAAAATTTTTTGGCTTTTTTTAATAAAAATTTACTATTCTAAAAACAATTTCTATAGGCGTTTGATCGAGAATCTATTCAAAAACTTTGCGGAAATTATTGTGATCAATCCTTACACCATTAATACATAGGGAAAAAAAATGGCGGAACATCCTAAAAAATTATTGAAAAGCCTTTAGATAAATTTGGAATCAATAAAACTAGTATTTTAGGCCTTTTTTTGAAAACACAGCAGTGAGTAACATATTTTGAAATTCATATTTTATGTAAATGAAAATTGTTAATTGAATAATTAAAATTAAATGTTTTTTGTGTAACATTTTCAGTTAAATAAAATCATTTAAAAAATAAACTGTTTTGGTGTTTGTTAAACTGTAAATAAATTTTTTTAGATATTGAAACATATAGAATATATATTGAATAATACTAACTATTGAAATCATACTTAATTCCTTTAGATGAATATCAAGTTAGTGCTCAATTTTGGTATCAGCACCAATGAGGAAATTGACAATGAGGAAGTCCATTTTCCAGTAGAAACGGATGAGTTTGATGAAGATAGTCACTCTACAGCTGATAATGCGGCACCAGTCTTGGGAAGTGAAGTTGCTGGTAGCATGAATCTTATACATCTTCAAAGATGTGCTGCTCACACTGGTATAATATAAATCCAAGTACTTCAATGTTAATTACATTTTCATTACTTAGTTACTTTTATATTTTTGTTTATGTAAATATTTCTTTAATAATCTTTTTTATTTAATTAGTTAATAACTTTGTATATATACTTAATGAACTTTTCTGTTTTTTTAGATTCAACCAATAGTTCAAAATCTGAACACGCAAAAAGAAGCTCCTAAAGAATTTAATGTGCAACCATACTTTTGGGAAATCTGGGAAGAGTTGAGATATAACTTGCATATGACACATGATCTTACTATTTGTCTTCAGCATGAAAATATCACTGCAGGCAAATTTCTTTTTGATTGGAATTCAGTAGAATATAAACTAGACAGGAAAGACTTAACCAAAGATTTCTAAAAAGGAATGATAAAGAAAGCATGATACACAAAAATTTGCTGTTTCTTGCAGCAGTTTATGTGGATATTAGGCATAGCTGTATGCTGACAGTCACTGTCAGCATACAACCATGCCTAATATCCACATAATTCTTCAAAAGAACAAAGGCAGATTCAACTAGATATAATTGAAACAGAGTTTAGAGCAGCTATAAAAACAATTCCAGAAATTCAATCAATGTTTAAAGACAACCTAGAAGAGTTTGGGGCTTCAGTACATACATCAACTATCTTATTGCCTGCAGCCGCAAAGGAATGCTGCTACATCAATAAAGGGTATACATACACACATACATATATACATACATACATCAGGCTTTGTTTTAAATAAAAACGCATTAGCCTTATGTGAATTTGACGTCATAAAATTCTCTTTATTTTTTTATTTTTTTTAAAAGACTAACTTTTTTAAATTATTGCAATAGTATTAACTACTGCAAAACAAGTTAAATATTATTTAACTCGTTTTTTATTATTACTATTAAATAATGTTTATTTGTTTATTTATTTTTTTAATATATTAAATAATTAAATTTAATATTACATTTAAAATTTTTTTTAAATATAATCAAATTGTTTTTCTTGGCATTTGTATAAATGAATTAAAATATGTTAAATTATTTAAAGCGATTATTTCTTAATCATTTTTAAAAATTTGCAACTACAAAATGATTTTTTATTTTAAAAAAATTTGCGATTAAAAAAAAAATTAATTTAATTTATTTACTTTATTTAAGGTTTATTCATTAGCAACTTTGTTGTGAAAGCAAAGATTATTTTTCCAAACACCATTTGTTAAAATTAAATCGATGTATATATCATTCATTAAAAAATATTTGCTCCTCTCAAATTGCGTTATAAAAAAAAAGTTTAACTTACGTTTTGTACAAATTTTTGATATAGCCTTGGAACACGATTATTTAAAATTTAATTTTGAGTAAAAAAAAAAGGTTTAGTAAGGAAAACCAAAAAAACAATTGCGATAAAAATGAGCTAAATTTTTTTTTTAGAATTAATAAAATTTAAATATTGAACAATATTTAGTAATATTTTGAAATAAATTTGACAGTTAAGTTAAGCCTAAACATTAACTTTAATTTTAATAAATTTAAATATATTTTTTACTCAGAATTAATATTTATATTTTTTAAATCAAAATTAAATTATAAATTTTTTTATAAGAATAAAATTATATATTTTTTATTAAATTAGTTTTAAATTACATATTTTTTATCAGAATTAAATTATATTATAATGATCTTTGCAATAAAATAAAAAAATTAATTTTAAATTATTTATCATTATATAGAAATTTAAGTAAAATTTTTTTATTGCAATCAAAAGTTGCATGAATATTTTTGGGCTTGCAAGATGATAAATAAAAGTTTCTATTATATATGTTAAAGAGATCTTAAAACTTATTAGCAAATCTTAAAAGTAATGTTTTTGCCATAAAGTACGTCATGCTAAGTTTATTTTTTGAATAGAATGATTATTTACTGAGTGGAATTTTAAAAGGTCCTTAAAGCAAAAAGTTGAAAAGAGAAAAATTGTTAAAGAGAATTTTTTCTTTATTCTTTTTTTTTAACAAAACAGCCTGGTTTTTATCTTTGTTTACAAAACGTTGCACCAAATTAACTTATTAATAATATTTTAAATTATTATTTTATTAACAATTTTATATAATTAATTTTACCACAATTTTATATAATTAATTTTACCACAAGTATATTAAAATATATATTAATTTGTTTTTATTAAAATTTTTTACTATTAGTTAATCAATGCTAATAGAAACCAGCAACTTTTTGTTTCAATGTTTTTGATTTAAATGATCCTGAACCTTTCAAAGTTATAATTACTTTGATTTGCTGAATCAATAAAGTACATCGCAGTAAATTTACTTATAAACTAAATCAAAACAACCAGTTAACTTACTACAGTAACTTACAGTTACTCGTATATATTAACTTATTAATTATATTAATTTACTTAATATACTTAAAGACTCGCAAAAGTTAGCCAAATGTTTCTATTTATCTTATATGTTGTTAAAATTAAATTACTAAACTAAAAATTATTTTAACAAAAATTGTCTAATAGAAAATGAAAAACATGACACCATTTTTTTATACTTTCATTTTCTTTAGGACATTAAAGAGAATTTTCTATTATCAAAAACTTCAAACGTCGATTCAAACCATGTATTACAAAAGGAATTATAAAATCTATTCAAGTGTGCAATCTTTTCCAACAAAAAATGTTAAGATCAAAAGATCTTATTAATAAAAAAGAAATTTAAAATATTTTTAAAAGATATAAATATATAATAGTTACATTAATCAAACTTAGTAAAAAAAAACCATTTAAAATTTTTTTTCTCAGAAAATGTAAAAAATCTTCGCGAACTTTGGAAAGGTATTAACACTCTAATTAATGTAAAATATTTAAATAAATCATCTCCCAATTGTTTGCAAGAAAATGATACATATATAACTGACCCGACTCTAATCTATAAATCATTTAACACTTTTTTTACAAATGTTGCTTATAAACTCAAATCCAATATTCATTCGTCTTACTTTAAAAATATCTTAAACATCCAAATTTACATAGTTTATAATTATCCCCAACAAATAAAACTTAAGACCATGAAAAGTTTATATTTTTTTGTAAAACATTCTAACTTGATAAATGTACCCAAGTTTATCTGTGTCTAAATGTTATCACTATAAAAAGCTGTTATACTATTATAATTTAGGAAATAAAAACATGACAAATTTATTAGTTTTTATTTATTTTAATTTAGCAACTAATTTTTTTAACATTTGATGATTTAAAAAAAGAAATGTAGGTTAATAGTATAATATTTACATTTTTAGCAAAATATAATTCAAAATCGTTAATTAAAGATCTTCAAACCTTTTTTTTTTAAAAAATAGGCAAAAAAATATAATAATATAAATAAATAAAAAAATATAATTTTATTAACCTGCAAACTGCAAAAGTAGCTTCCCATCATCATCTTCATTAAAACATTCACTAAATTGTGTTGAGTCTTCAATATTTTGACTGCTTATATCATCTGTCTCAGTATCATATTCTTTAAAAGAATTATAAATTCATTTAACTTTTTTGTAAAATAAAATGTTTACAAAACACGCACACAAAAAACTTAAAACTTTGCACAAAAAACATTTACAATTAAATTTACAAAACATTATATGTTTTGTTTGGGTAAAAATTCACAAGGCACTGCAAACACCAAAATATTACAGAAGAGATCAAATTTAAAATCAGCATCCTGTTATAAGCAATCAAAAGGTTGTGATTTTTTTTATATCAAGTCTGAAGTATACAATTATGTCATCAGCAAATAAAGTCACTTTAGAACAATACAGGACCAAGAGTGGAACCTGAGATATTAGAAATTTTTTAATTAAAAGAATTAAAGACCTTTCTAATAATGGAAAGAAGACTGATTAGTTAGAAATAGTTAGAAAATTGTTTTGCAGAGTTTTTAATTTTGGAGCCGCAGATACCATTTTATATTTATTAGGTGTCAGATTATTTGTAAACAGTTTTTTACAGTGAATACTTTTTTATATTTTACTGATAAGAAATACTTTTTTGGATACTTTATTGATGTCCTTATTATCAATATTATCATATTATGTAGTTAATATAAATTTAATGTAAATTATATTTTATGTGCAAAAATGCATACGAATCAAATTCAAATTTATTAAAAAGTTTAATATTTTTAGTTGAAAAGCTCAAAATTTTTATCAAAGAACTTTTATTTTAATGTAAATAACTAAAATAATGCAACAGTCACACAAAAAACTTGTTTTAAATGGAAACTTAAGTAAGTGTAAGTTATGGAACTTAACATTGGTTGTATAATGAAATTTATGTTGTAAAACAATTGTTGTGGAAACAAATTGATTCCTACAAAAGTTGCTGTACAACAAAATTGCACAACTGTTTTACAATATTTCTACAATTATTGGAAACCAAGCTTTAGTAATTTTAATTACAGAAAAATAATTTGTTAAAGCCAACAATTTTACAAAGAATACTCCTAGTTTCTTATATTTTCTTCTGCACTCCACCTATATACAGGGTTTTAGATAGCCCAATGGCACAGCGTATAATGCGGAATTCCCAATGGTTTTAAAATTTGCATAAATCAATGTTCTTTTATTATTATTATTATTATTTTTTTTGAAATTAAGTTGGACAATATCAATAAAAATACTCAATACTTTGTAGATTAGTACAATAAATATTCACAAAAATGTCACAAAAATGTGGTAAAAAATATATTCCTGACTAACACCCTGGTATAAACTTTACTAAAATTTTATCTTCAAAATTTCTTTGTTTTAATTTTGTTCAAAATTACCGAAAAGAATATCTTTATTTTAACTTTATTATAAATTTAATTTTTAAATAAACTTATAATTTTAAATAAAAAAATGTTGTGTAATTATATAATTAGAGTTGTAAATTTGTTCTAATTGAAGGATTATCTTTTTGTTATTTTATTAATTCAAATTCATACAGTATTAAGTATAAGTAGGACTTATAATGTGATGTGCAAGGTGCGTATTTAATACTATTACAATATTACTTTTAGTAAATATTTTTACTTAACCATGATTTTACTTGCATTTTTACTTTTACTTAAAAAAAGTGAAAGTAAAAATGCAAATATTACAATATTTAAACCACTTAAAACAGTTATAAAAATATTTAATAACCCATTCATGCTGATGATAAAACACATTTTATTTTTATAAAAAGCTATATAAAACATCAATAAAAAAATACTGTGAAATTGTTTTGTCTTGCTTGAGTTACTATAGGAGTTGTCACTGTTTTATACAGTTAATAACATTAAGTACACATATCACTGTTTTATACAGTTAATAACATTAACTACATATAACACATTTAAAATAAAACAAAGTAAATAAATAGAATTATTTTTATCAATAAATTAGAATTGATGAAAACATTATTTTCATAAAACTTTAAACTTAATACTTTTGCAAAAAAATATCCCCTATATATTGACCAAACAAGTAAGATTAAATTTAAAAAAAAAAAAAAAAAAAGAGTTAACTTAAAAATAATACTAAATTTCCGCCATGTTCTTTCTACTTTATTGCTTCTTGATCTAACCTATTACAGTAAACTCCAGGTTATTCAAACCACCTAGGGGAATTAGAATTTACTTTAGATTACCAAAAGTTTGAATAACTGAAAATCTTCTTTAAAGTGACTTATTTCAAGTTACTATCAAATTTTAACAGAAGAGAGTAAAAAAGAAGAAAAACTTTGAAGTAAGATGCTGTTTAAGTCTTTACCTTCTAAAAAACAAATTTAAAATAAGAAAATAAAATCTTTACAATTTATCAAAAAAAATTATCAATGCTTTCCAAAACTTAACTTTTGTCTCTTAGCTCCAATTTGATTTAATCTTAATGGTTATGTCTTCTTAACACTTTATACAGAAAGTTAAAGTGTTTTGAAGAGCACTAAACTGGGTGCATTCTTTTTAGTTTTAACCTTTTTCCAATCTTTAAAAGCAAGATAATTATTTTTAATTGATAATTTGACTTTTTTGCTTAATGTTTTCTATAAAATTTGAGTGAAACAAAAAGAGTTTAACAAAAAAGGGAGGTTGATCGCACACCCTACAACCCCCATGGTATGGGCATAGTACTCCCTTTTTTCGCATAGACACCATGTTAAAACTTTTATTGCACTACGTTTAATGTGTTTAATTTTTTTATATTTTGATAACGTTACTTGTTTTACATACATACATACATATTGATTACATTCAATTAAGTTATATTTCGAAATGCAAAGCAATTGTATCTCAAGCCAAAGGAAAACTTCGAATAACTGACAAGATGTTTGATAAGGGGAATAAAAGAATACTTCTAATAATCGAAATTTTGAATAACTGCTGGATATTTACATGAGTTTATTAATAAAAATTCATGAATAAGCATAAGAATGAAAATTGCTTTGAATAAGCAGGAAATTTGAATAAGTGCCAGTTCTAACAACTGGGAGTTTACTGTATTAAAAATTTAATTTTTTTTTCATTTAAATGGTTTTTGAGTTAATGTTTTCTTTAATATATATATTTTTTCAAATTGTTGTGCAATAAAGTCAAGCAAGGGTGAAAAAATTTGGTTTAATAAGTCCAATTATTTCCTCTATTTAAATACCATATTTTTAATTAATTTTATAATTATTAATTAATTACAAAATTAATTAAAAATATGGTATTTAAATAGAGGAAAATTGAAAATTGAAGAAGTTATATTTTCAAATGTTAATAGCATTAATAACTAAATTGAACTTATTTATATATAAAATTATTATTTACAAATTGTAAAAATTGTAAATTAAGTTAAATATATTAACATTGACCACATATTTGATTCATTTGGTCTAATTCCAAAAGAATGTAGTGGCTATTTGTAGTGAGTCCTTTTTTACTGCAGTATGGATAAGACGTAAGGGGTAAAGCCTAAGTGGCGATGATGTTTGTCTGAGGGAATAAACTAGTTATAAGTGCTGATCCTCATCAAAACGCCAGTAATAATAGACACGACTCTGAGGAGATGTTTATTTATCACTACACAAATTATGTTTACAAATTAGCATTATTGTTTTTTTTTCTATTTTTAGGCCTTTCATTGTTGTAAGCATACTTTTTATTTTGTAATCAATTTTTTGTTTTATAAGTTTTTTGTTTGGTGTTATATTTGTTGTATATCTTTGTTTATATTGGCGTTTATAAAACAATTTTTTTTTTTAATTATTATTATTATTTCTTTTTTAATTATTATAAAAATTACCACTAGAGTCTTGGGTCATTCCATATGAAATCATGCAGACCATAACACCCTTACGTCTCAGAATTTGTTCATTTTTACCTCACTTGTAGTCCATATTAAAAAAATAATTACTGCAAAAATTTTTGTTAAAAATACACATGGGTTCCAGAGATATTGTCAGTTAAAATAATGCTGACTCAGCATTTTAGTGATTATCTGAAGCGACTACAAAGCAACTTTGACATAAAGTATCTTCATAATGGCTTGGGGAAATTTTCTTAAAATTTGGTACCCCAATAGATTTTTACTTATGGTATCCAAAAAGAGCACCCTCGATTGTCTCAGGAAATGCCTTGTTTATCCAATTTTGTTCAAAATTATTGACTTGTAAATTCATGATTCTTGGAGGTAAAATGAAGACTGGCCCAAAATCCCAGATAAAAAGTTTAATTGTATATCATTATTTTACCTCAGGTATATTGAAAAAAACTAGATTCATCAATTGTCTCTCTAATACTTGATCAAAATTTGCGTTTAAAAATTGTGTCTTTTTAGAAAAATTTAGATTTTGTAACAAAAGCAATTGAAATGTTCTTTAAAACATTTATTTTAATAAAACATCAAATAGTGTTATTTGTTGACTAGTTTAGGATGTTTATAGTCATAGGCCAAGGGAGGGCCAGGGGGCCTCTAATAAACTCTGCCCCCCTCAATCTCTCTGGATTTTTTTTTATTTTGATGCATTAAATGATATAATAAATAATTATTAAAATTCAATTTAAAAATATAACTTTTTTTTTAAGTTTTTAATTTAAATTTAAGAAACGATTTTTTTTTTCATTATTTACCTCTTTTTTCAAAGAAGGCACTCAAAACTAAGATCTTTTCACGATTTTAAAAATCTTAAAATTTTAAACAAAAAATATTGGAATGTTTTTTAAAACATTTTACCACTCAATATCTTTATGTTATTATTTAGTAGATTAATACTAATATTGTCATTGACATAACAAGGTGAACAGTGGGATTTATTTAAACCCTTTTCCTTTTCAGTCTTCCATCCAAGGATTTGAAAAAAGAAAAGACAAATTTTAAATACAAAATAGGTAAATAAAATTACAACAAAATTATTTTAAATGTATTTTATTTTAACTGCTGATATTGTTGTGGGAGTAGAAATTAGGCATAAAACTTTAGAATTGAGTACTTAACACTCTTCATTTCTTATTGGTCAAAA